GCCAACAGGCACACAAAAACATGCTCAACATCAGTAATTATTAGGGAAATGTAAATCAAAACTATAATGAGATATCACCTCATACCCATCGGAATGGCAATTATTAAGACAAGAAGTAACAAGTTTTGGAGAGGATGTGGAGAAACGGGAACCCTCGTACACTGCCAGTGGGAAGGTAAATTGGTGGAGCCACTATGGAAAACAGTATAGAGATTCCTCAAAAAATTAAAAGTAGAACTACCATATGATCCAGCTATTCCACTTCTGGGTATCTATCCAAAGAACACAAAAACACTAATTCAAAAAGATATGTGCCCCCTCATGTGCATTGCTGCATTAGTCACAACAGCCAAGACTTGGAAATAACCTAAGCGCACATCGACAGACGAATACATAAAGAAGATGTGATAGATACAGAGAACAGATTGGTGGTTACCAGAGGGGAAGGGAGTTGGGGGAGGCTGAAATGACTAAGGGGGCACATTTGTACAGTGATGGATGGAAACTAGACTTTTGGTGATGAATACAATGCAGTCTATACAAAAGTTGAAATATAATGATGTATACCTGGAATTTATATAATGTTATAAACCAATGTTACCAATAAAAAAAAAAGTTACTGAAGACTCCCAAGACTTGTTCATATAGGTTATATCTATTGATATTTACTGTATTAGAAATTAAAACTGAGAAATTTTTAAAGTATTTATTAATTTATTTAAAGATAGATTCACATAATAAATAATTTATATAAGAAATAAATTAACATAAAGTCTTATGAAAATAACAATATTTTATAAAACAAAAAAATGTAACAACAAAAAATGGCCTTTACATTTTTGTAAATTTCTCAAATGTCTGGTTAAACGTAAGGCAGCTGGGCTTTTCTATCTGTTTCTGCATTCTCTATGTTGTGAAAGGCTCTTTTGCTTGAACTCCTCGAAGGAAATCCATTCTCAGACAGATATGTAGCTAGAAAATGGAGGAGTAAATTAATGACCTTTTCAGGTAATTGCGGATATTCTTCTTCAGTATTACCCCAAAACCTAAAAAGTAGTAGTTTCCTAAAAGTTGCATATTAATGAACCACATGAATAAACTTTTCATACTCTGTTCCATTAAAATCTATTAGTTTATCTTGCATTTTGAATAGATATTTTATCTGTACATGATTTTGTAACATCATGCACTGTTCATTTAGAAAATATTGGCTGAGTTACGCATACCTTCAAAATGTTGACACAATTCATTACATATCAAAAACTCACATTTGTTAAAATTTCCCCTGGTCTCATCAGAAGTGTCTTTAAGCAGTGAGAAGCTGGCATGCTCACGGGGCAGATACAAGTTTTCCAAACTCCTCATTTTCTTTTGAAGGTTCCCAATTTATCATCCCCCCAAAATAATTCCAGTTGTTTCTCTTGAAGTCATAAGCTCACTTTGTCCATTTCCAAGAAAACGCTTGCCAGTTATTCAAGTCTGAAGATCCATAATTTGTCAGTTGTTCTTTCAAGTCAAAGCCAGGTTTACTCCTGGATTCTTCAGCTATGTGAATTAATAAATTCCAAAAAAAAGTGGTTAATTCGGTTTCAACTCAAACCGTCACATAGCGCTCTCCCTAAGGAAAACTCTCAAACTTCGATATGCAGCCACGGCTCCTCACGCAGACTTTCCATACTGTTACACCAAATATTAAAAGAACGCACACTCAGGAGTTGAGATTAATCTCAAATTAATTCTTAATAATATGACTAAAATTAATAACTTGTGCTTAATAACAAGAAGATTCTCAAGAGATACTGGCATTTTTAAACTGTGATTGTATGGCAGTGAAGAACAAATGAATGCTAGTACCATTTACTGCCACAGCCTTGATTTGTGCTAAGAAAGCAACAATTTTGTCCATCATCGCTTTTGCACCATCAGCGCCAATGTCAAAACAGTGAAAAAGACAAATAACATCCTGCTACTATTATAAAATAGTTTTAACTTCACTGACCCCCTAAAAGTGTCTCAGGGGCCCCTCAGGGGTCTACAGACCATGCTTTCAGAACCACTGGTCTATGGCACAGGCTGCGGAAGAAAATTTCCTGGTTGTCCAGGTGATGGCAGTAAAATGTTTTACTCAAGGAGAGACACGAGGACCTTGGCCTTAACAAGGAAGGGCAACTCTTGTTTGCAGATGATCCTGGGGAGGCAGTGGATGCATTTAGTCACAATGCAACAAGGCAACCTACACCCCCTTCCCTCATTTATCTTGGATTAATTTCACAAATGATAAACTAACATTTTCTTAGGGAACAATTTGCTTGAGTATTTAGGTGAATAACCTGTGGACAGTTGTTATTTCATTGAAGAACGGATTTCAAGATGTGCTAATTTTATACGTAATCAGAGCCCTTGTATTCATATGCATGTGCATTTATTAATGCTTTCAACAAACACTTCTTAAGCCACCTGTAAAGACAAGGCACTGTGAATAGTAGGCATGATCAATCCACATTGGTTACTAGACAAGTTCAAAGGAGGCTAAGAGAGAGAGGCGGACAAGATCTAACATCTCTGTCTCCTTGGAATTTGAGAGAAGCCAGCAAGTGAGAGACCACAGTGATCAGAATCCAGTGTCTACATGGGAGCCCTACATGGAACACCAACTGAATTGGGTCAACAAACAGCTCTGCCCTGCTGAGATGTGCAATTCCAGGCTAGGTGCCTCTCTGTGGCAATCTCTAACCTTCCTCCTCATTGTGAAAAGGTATCAATTTATCACTTTACCCAAGCATTAGTAGGAAAATTTTTTTTAATCTTACATCCTTATTGAAATGCTAACCTTGCATTTGGCTTGAGAAACTTCATTCTCTTCAGGTGGATGATGGTTATTTCCTGGAAGGTCTGAATTATCTCAAGAGTGATTCTTTTCAGGCCCATCTTCAACCTCTCTTTCAGTCCAGAGTAGACATTTGTTGTTTTTGCCACCCAGAATCTTTTCTCCCTTCTTCAGGTACCAGCCCCCACTTTTCCTTTACTGATGCCACTCCTCCCCTACTCTTTGTGCAGTTTTGGAAGGAGCTGACTCTACTTTCTTCCCTCATGCAGTGTTCTGTCCACTGGCCATGGTGACTTGATTAAGGATGGGCATGTGACTCAGTCTAGGCAAGTGAGAGGTCAAGAGAGAATTTTTTTTTTTTTTGAGTTTTTGGAGAAAGCAGCTCTCCTTTTTTCACTGGTGCCACTGACAGGAGGTGGTTTAGGATAGAGCTGCAGGCTTCCATCCTTCAGTGCGAAGGGAGATCTGACTGCTCATGGAGCCCACAGAGGTGGAGGCAGCCAGGAATGAGGGACACTGAGTCCTGACCTGAGCCCCTGGCTTCACAATGATGAGAGCCAGGTGTATCCCTGGATTCTTCAATTATGTGAATCAGTAAATTCCATTGTTTGCTTTAGCCATCTTGTGTTGGGCCTTCTATTTTCCATCTACAAAGGAGTCCTCACTGATACGTCTCCATACCCCAAGGACCAGGACATACCAAAACTCCATAGGGAACCAGAGAACCCAATTTCCAGAAATATCACACTTGCAAATCTTTATGCCTCTGTTAATTTCTCCAGACTGAATCTCTCCATCTTTCCCACATTCCCTTAGCACTCTATAGACAGCTCAAATTAAAATACTTAATAATTTTGTACTATGAATTTGCTTTGATACTTTTCTTACATCTTGAGCTACTTAAGAAAAGGAACAATGTCTTAATCTTCTTTATATCTCTAGAATCTAGCACAACACTTAGCAAATATATAAGATGCCTGATAAATCGTGGTCAAATTAAATTTCCAGAGTGGGAGAGAAGTTCAACACGGTCTTCCATCTCTGGAGACTTCCAGCCTGGCATCATACTCATTTGCTTGACCTGCACAATGAAGGTCCCCAACCCTCGGTGCCTTGACTGGTTTTAAACCCATTTTTCCTCAGATCCATCCTGGACTTTTCCACTGATTTGCTCTGTATAACAGAGGGGATGACCTCTCATGGTTCCATGTTATCTGGCTTCTGGCCAGGTTCCACTAATGGGTACCAATAGGGGTTTGAAGGATGGAAGAAAGGGAGAACCGAAGGCATTTCTCCCCCTCTTTCTACCTCAAGCCACATCTCAGGGAATGGCTGTGTTTCTCTAAAAAATAACCAGATCCTGCTAGTCAGGCCTACTTTACTTGCAACTTCATCTGCATGGCCACAGATACTGGGCTCCAAGGAATATTGCCTCCTCCTAAGGAAGATGAGAGCTTCCAGCTCTTGCCAATCTCTTGCTTGCCTCACTGTCCTGTTTGGTTTTTCAACATTTTCCATCACTTGTCTAATCAATCCCAAGCATTTAATGCCCTCTGTTTAAAATACTGAGTGGTTTCTGTTTTCCCGCTGGAACCTGACTTATACTGTGCTATATTTTTTAGATGCCAATAGCATTTAATTATGTGTTTGTACCTGGGGCCCTAAGAGAGTCTCCCTATACCTCCAGCTCCCTCTGGCCCCAGCCAACCATAGATGTAGTACCGCCTCCATCACGGTAGTTATTTCCAGAAGTCCCAGTTAACATACAAATCTTTTGCAAAACATTTTTTTCTCTACATCATAGCTTCCATAAGGAACTTGGGGCTACATTATGATTCATCTGAGCTCAATGAGACACAAACCCAGAGTTTCCAAACTCTTACTCCATGAGCACAGCTAAGATAAACTGGCCATGCTCTCCACCCAGAGGAGCTTGTACTGAAAACAAACTCATTTGAAACAAAGAAGTTTAAAGCACCCACTTGCTCCCACCAAGTGACTTGTACTGATGGGAGTGGTGAAGCAAGGACATGCTGACGATCTTCAGGCAGGAAGACTCCTCAGCCCATGACAGGGGGTTGGGGATCTCTGCTTGTTACAATTCCTCTCTAGGAAGGTAAAGGTGAGTTTCTAGCCACATTAGAGAAATCTCCAAGTAATTCAATTCAATAAACTTTTTTAAAGACAAGGTTTAATTCACAAGGTTTAATTCACATAAAGTTTATCAAGTCAAGTTAATGAAAATATCAAAATTTTTGAGTTAGTGTATGGCAGCAAAAATTTAATTTCTGTTGCAAATAAGACAGTATTTGGTGCTTCCATTATTGACAAGCTATGCGTCAGAAAGAGTGATCACAATGAATCCTAATTCATCAGGGTCACATTCCATAAGTTTCTTGCAAACCTCTGTGGCATCCTCTAATAAAGTTAATTGGAAATAGTTTCCATCCATCTAATTCATAGAGATGCCCATCGAAGGGAGCTAATGCAATAACACAAGAACTAACGTGTTCTATTCACTAACATTGAGTATTTGCCACACATCAGTCATGGTGCAAGGGGTTAGGGTGCAGGTAAGAATGAAGAGTGCAGGCAAAATTGTGAAGTAGCTCCAGTTCATCTCAACTATCCTAACACTCAGAACTTTGACTCATTTCTACCATGTTAACATTCCTTCTGCCACAGTCTTTATTCCCGTCAAAAGCTGTTGTACAAAGATCAAAGTGTAAATGACTGGTGGTGACTTCAAAAATTATCCTTTGAGAGGAGTTTGCATTTCAATAAGTCTTGAAACCTTAAGATAAAAAATTTAATCTTCTTCAGTAGAATTTGAAACAAGAGCAAGTTGAAGTACTTATCCAAGGGTCAGGGTGCCTTTCCAGCCCCTGAAATGAGACCACTATCCCTTGGCCTACATTTTCTGCAGCCCCACTCAGAAGGTATTAAAAGGCTTTTACAAAATATTCCATTCCACAGCCTCTTACGATAAAATGTGTATAGGTACAGGTATTATATTTTCAATAACCTTGTGTTGGAAATAAAGAACTTCCCTGTGAACAGCCCAGTGAGTCTTTCACAATGTAACCTTGCTATTGTCCTTCCCTTCTCTTCCCTTTCCTTCCCTTCCCTTCCCTTGGGGGGACAAGGCAGCCCAGTGCAGGACACTGCAGCCCAAGCTGAGTGAGAAGGGCATCCATGCAAGGTGGGGGTGAGAGGTCAGAGGTGGAGATGGGATACTGGATACATACAGAAGAACTGGCCAAATAAGGACATATGTGGAGGATAATGGAAGCCCGGTTTCTCACTGGTGGGGAAGGAAATTACAAATATGAAAGTGGAGAACCAGAATGAACCCTGTAGTGTTGGACTGAAATCAGAGATGTGAGTGTGTCATCATGATTTTTAATATAGATAAATATAGAAATATAGATGTTGAACATGAACAAATTATGTTTGCATGTGTATGTGTGCATATGTGTATGTGTGTGTGTACACATTCCCAACCTCTGTCCATGGAAAGGATCTAGGAGTAGCAAGACTCCAATAGCAATGAGATCATTTAGTACCCAGATCTTGGTTTTCTTAATACTATTCTCCACTAAAAGAAAGCAAGGCTCCTTAGAGAAATGGTAGATTCCTGGGCTGGGGAAGGGAAAGAATGAGATGAGCCAGGAAAATCATATTGCTGTCAGAAAGTAAGGAAGTAGGGACAAGTCAAAAAAGACACGGAAGTCAGCTTGAAGGTGTCCTATTGGCCAAATCAAGAAAAATGGGCACATGAGAATAGATAAATGAGATGATAATGATAACAGATTACAGCCCACCGAATAAAATAAGAATCACTAAGTCTATATCAGGAATAAATGGATAAATTAGAGATTTAATGAGGAATAGGACATTTACATCATCTCAAGCACATCCCCAAACAAATATTTGTTAATTTCAAAGGATAAAAGAGTGACTTTGCGATGGAGAAGCATAGCACACACCATCTTAATCAAGGGACGGAAATGAACGTTCTCCATAAGAGGACAAATCCAAATTGGTTGTCTGATAGGATTCTATCCTGACAGGATGCAATGAGAAGAGCACAGTTGGGGCCAGCCTGGGGGCATAGTGGTTAAATCTACATGCTCCACTTCAGTGGCACGGGGTTCACAGGTTTGGATCCTGGGCACGGACCTACACACCGCTCAACGAGCCATGCTGTGGCAGCATTCCACATACAAAATAGAGGAAGATTGGCACAGATGTTAGCTCAGGGCCAATCTTCCTCACCAAAAAAAGAAGAAGAAGAAGAAGAAGAACACAGCATTGAGCATTGCTTTTGTGATATTCCTGCCAATGATGCATAATCTGAATTTAATCATAAGGAAACATCAAACAAACCCAAATTGAGGGACATTCTATAAAATAACTCACCTCTAATCTTTAAAAGTGTGAAGATCATGAAAACCAAAGACAGACTGAGGAATGGTTCCCAACAGAAGGAAACACGACAACTGAATGAACCAGTTATTCTCGAATGGATTCGGTGGTACCAATGAAATGATGTCAATCTCACAGTTGTGTTAGCTGTATTGCGGTGTGCAAGACAATGTCCTAGCTGGTAGGAAATAGACACTAAAGCTTGTGGGATGATACAGCAGCAGACTGGCAACCTACTCTCAAATAATTCAGGAAAAAAATGGTTTTTGTACTGTGTTTGCAATTTTCCTGTAAGTTTGAGATTATCTTCTCAATAAAAGATGTAAAACTGTGATCTCATTCTGTGTCTTGTACATACAAGTCCCTGATAAAGTTCAAAGTTTGTCTCATTTTCTTTATTGTGGTTGAATCCACTTTAAGTTAAAATTCAAAATGTTTAACAAACATAAACCCAATACATGTTATGGAAAAACAAAAGAGATCTATACTAGTATTTATAACTATTTGATCTTTTCGAAAGATAACTTTGACACACTTAGACCTTTTGCCTCTAAGAGATAAATTAATTAGCAGACAATCTTCAAGGAAATCAGTGCTGGTACACTTTTTTTAGTCTACGAAAGTCCAATGTGCAGCATAGAACTGATGCAATATTGTAGCATAAATTGTAAGTCACGAAGTGGTAATTCTCATACACACAGTAATGGGAATCCCCATCCTACACCCCCTCCACATATAGCAATTTACTGTCTCTGAGAAAACAGACTTCTTTCTCAGACTATGATATTTCATAACGTATCTTTCCAAACAAAAGAAACACCTTCCATTCAACATTGGTATTTTTAAAACCATTAGAGCTCCCAGTTACACAGGTAGATTTAATAAGTATCCCTTTAAGAAGAAACAATTTTCAAGAGAAAACTTATATCTTACTTGTTACATTGACTTATAGTGCATTTGATCGCAAATAGCAAGATAATTACCAAAGATAAATAAAACTTTAAAAAGTATTCAACTCATTAAATATAACTATATGTCAATCTCCTGCCAGCCCTCAAGCTGGATACTGTGAGGAGAAAACAAAAATCAGCAAGGTATCAGCTCAGCCTTCAGGCGCTCATCATATGCAGCCATATAAGTCATTATTACGCAGGTCACTGACACTGAGCTATCCTAGCAAGAAGTCTATCACAGAATAATCTCAATTAGCAAAATCTACATCCAGAGGAAGAGATGTATCTGAAGGAAATAATCAAAATCAAGGAAACTCAGTTAAACTTCTCTCAGAAGACGACACAAGTGTAGCATGTGTTCAAGTCTTAAATGCGGTCATCAAGTTACTGCTTAGTGTCACTCTGTACCAGAAAAAGGAACTTCCCCACCCTCCTTCACCAAAAACAAACAAACAAAAATATACAAGCGAAAATAGGTTAAAACTAATCTAAAGAGCCAACTTACAAAATTACTTAAGAGACTGAGGACACGTCTAAAGGGGGAGATGGGCTTTGGATGGAAATGGGTGGAAGGGTTTGTGGACTGATGCCCATTTATATGAGACTCAAGTAATTTTTCCCATCAGCTGACAGAGCAATGGGCAGCACAGGATTGCTCCCTGCTCTGTCGGCAAAACACAGGGCAAAAGCGAGCCACTGCTCACCATCCCCTGGGCAGCTCTGTGGCTTGGGTACCTTGTAATCTGTTAGTTTCAAACCATGGTGATGCCATAAATTGGCAAGCATTGCATCTGATCAGTCATTAGCCAGTTTATCATGAATATTACTGAGTGAATGTGATATATGGCACAGTTCATTCAAGTTTAAATAGCTGTTTATATCCTGAGGAATTCCTCACCAAAGTCATATGGGTTATTTTTGAGTTGTGGAGTAGACGCTTTAAATACCTATGTCCCAACCCCCCCATAACTCTCACATTGTTCATTTTATCAAAGGTATCACGCAATGAGAATCAGCAACGTAATCAAAACAAAAATTCACTTTAAAAGGAAATATACTATCTATAGATAATTAAGTATTATCTATAAAAATATTTTAAGAATTGGAATGATATCAAGCCATTAGGCAAAATCACTTGTATAGAAAAAAGTATTAGAATCCTATCATTCTGGAAATGAATTTAAGTTTTTCACCCAACATCACAGAGGGATGTGACTGATTCAGTCTCAATGGCAAGGGAAAATTTTTAATAGATTCTGAGGTTTGCAGTGCTGGCCATGTTTTCACGGTGGTTCAAGCAGACGCATTTCATGGGTTTTAATACACACCAAACAGTGTTTACTGCTTGAATACCCATGACAGCAAATCTGAGACAGGTCAGTCAAGTTAGTTTGATGAAAGAGATCTGATTTTCTTCGTGTGCTGAAGCTGAGAGCAAAATGGTACCCGTGAATTAGAATCCTAGGAAAGAGGTGTTAGCAAGGATTTGTGGGTTTTGTCGTGACTTGTTTTCTCTCTGCAGATGTGTCTGGGGTGGGCTACCAGCGACAACTTTTAACGAAAAGATGCTCTCACTTTTCTGCCCTTCAGAGGCTGTGGTGGACGGTGATTGCTCAACAAGAAAGCTGCTGTTTCGCCCTCCGCTGTACACAGGAGGGTGCGGAATTTGGCCAGCTGTTGAAGCAAAGAGGAGAGTTAGTTTCAGCACAGAACATCACACCGCTGTTAAGAAACTGCCCTGCATAGAAAGTTGAGAAATGCGTAACCTCCCCTCTACCAGGAACTAACAGCGTGGCAATGAAAACTATCTAAGTTATGGGTCATACATAATAAAGCGCCTCTTTTGCTAAATTCTCGCCACTAGACAAATAAGTCTGGGTTCAAAAATCAAGTAGATCATCATTCTTTATTTGAAGCTCAAAGTAATAAGAGGAAACATTTAGAATGTGGTTTAAAGAGTACATATCTAGAAATCGGAGAATGTCACATATGACGGCAGAATGGCACAGTGGCAAGGGCACTGCGGGGCTTTCAGAGCTGGGTCCCAGGCCTGGTTCTGCCACTAACCAGCTTTGTGACCTTGGCCAAATCGCTTATTGTCTCTAGTCTTCAGTTTCCTCAGCGATAAAGTGAAGCACTGGACTTGAGGACCTCAACAGGTGTCTTCCAGCTCTTGGAACACTGACCGATTACAAGCACTGCAGGATAATATGGCCCCAACATTCCCAATCATGGGAACCGTGCGGTGTTCACCCTGTAGAACTTTGATCTTACAAGTATCGTTTTCCTTTAACTAGATAATTTTGCTTGTGTTCACCATACTTATGCCTTTTAAAGAACTAACTATGGCAAAAAGCCTAGGGCCCTTCAACCTCTGATAATGTTTAAATACAATTTGAGAAGTATAGGCATATTTCTCACTAAAAGAGCTTAATTTTCTTATTCTTAAAAAAACACATCTTACATACTTCATATAACACACAAAGCATCAAGAAGAAAATAAAACTTACTAGTAATCACATCACAAGATATATCCTCCTGTTAACATAATGGAGTATATCATTCCAGGTGTTTTTCTATGTAGACACACACACTCATGCGTGCACTGGTGCACATGCATGCGTGCGCACACACACAGACATGTTTTATTAAAAAATGAGCTTGTGCTTTTTTTTCAATGAAGCTCACATTTTTTTGAAACCTTATTTTTTCACTTAATGTATATCGCAGATATCTTTGCATGTTGATAGGTATAAACATATGTCACTAATTTTAACTGCTGAAAAGCTTTCTATTATACGCATGTTTTATAAATTATTTAACAATTCCTTGGTGATTTAATAATATTTATTAAGATTTAGCACAATTCTACAGTAGTAAAATGAAGATTAGGTAAATTATTTGAATAATTCTACTGTCTCAAAAATGTAATACATTGGCAATTAACACAAGTAAGTTTTTGGTGTTTGTTTTGCTGTTTTCTTTGAGTATAGACAATTATTGTTTCCGTCATCATCAGTTAGCTGTCCAGGATGGGAAGCAGAGGTGATGGGGGTCCTTCACAATAGACAGGCAATGGTTTATTTATAACCATGCTCTATGGAAATAAGTTCGGGTGTCATATACAAGCAGCCATGTATTTCCACAAGTGATATTCTGAGGTATCTTTTAAAAGGGTATAGATATGGGAAAGATGAAACAACTATTTACAACTTGCTATTACTCATGTTTCAGTAGACCAGATCACTACAGCTAAAGCCAGATGAGACTTAACTAATTCCCAAGCAGTGGAGGCTGATAAAATCTAACCTCTGGAGCCACAAGGAAGGCGCCCAGCCTTCTGCAGATCATGGTAATCCAGGTCTTTCTGGAGTGGCCACTCCAGGTGGCTATACAAGAACGCCGATTCCCCTGAAGATCTTGGCTTTACTTATCTCCCCAGCCCGCTTTTGGCTCCTCCGCAAGCTGATCATGGCTCCCTACCCTCAACACCTTAGCCTCATTGGTCTGGAACTGGAACCTACTCTTCATCTTTCTCTGAGCAGCCAGCTCATTTTGGTAAGAGCCCCTGAACCCATCCTGCTATTTCATCAAACCCCTTCCCGTTTTGGCTCTGGGTCTCCGTCCCAGTCACTTAGCCGAGCTAGGGAAATCCTGCACCCGCCATCCTGGCTCAGATTTGCCTCTCTTGGCTCTGGTGTCCTCTACCATGGCGTTGGCCTCAAAATGCACACCCCTAGCTTCCTACTGGTTTCATCCCCTCACTGAGCCCCAGGCTTCATTCAGGCAGACAATGTACCCCTCTGTCACCAAGGCTGACTCAGCATCCACCTGGCTCCTGACAGGAGTCTCCTCAGATCAGCCTGGAGGAAGCGGTGGGTAAGACCTGTTTTGCTATTTTCTTTGGCTCTAACACTGAAATTTTTATTTCATTGTAGTAACCTCAGTAAGCAGAAATACTCTTTTCTAACATTTTGGAAACAGCTTTGGTTATGTCACTCTAGGGCTCAAATGTCTTTACCAGCACTCCATTGCCTGCAAAGTTGAGTAATAATAAAAATAAGCTCTCTCTTATGGATTATGGTGGACCAGGTACGTGCTAAGTGTTGACATTCCATTATCTCATTTAATCCTCCAAACAATCCTGTCAAAGACACACTATTATCTCCATTTTAAAGATGAGGAACTTGAGGGATAACTAGGAAGGTTCATCAAATAAGCCATCTGGCAAATAAGCCATGTACTAACCACGGCATTACATTGCATCTCTAACTTTTTTCTTTTCTTTCTTTTTTTTTTTTTTTTTTTGCCATTTTCCCCTAATCTCCTTTTATTATGGAAACTTTGACACACACACAAAGGTAGAAAGAGCAGAATAATAAATCACCGTCACCCAACTTCAACAACCATTGACATATGGTCAATTTTGTTTCATCCATACTCTCACCCATTCTTTCTCTCCAACACCCATCCCGCCCAAACTGGATTATTTTGAAGCTAATTCAAAATATCACTTCATTTCGGGTGTAAACATTTCAGGGTATATCTCTAAAATACATCACATTTCTAACCCTATCTAGACCCCAAACAAACTTGCCAGCAGGACTCCCCAGCCTCTGGACCACTCAGTGCCAGCTCCTCTTTCTAGCTGCTCTTCCGTTGCTTCCACACACAGGGCCCACTCTCAGCCAGCTCTGTGAAGGTAGTCCCAGAGCATCTGAATGAAAAGGCTATGAGGTGGATCTTAAAAATTCAGGTCCTGGACCCTACCCCAGACCTTCTGAAAGAGAATTTCTGATAAGGCCCAAGGACTCACATTTTGATAAGCTTCCCCAGGTGATTCTTGAATACACTGAAGTTTGAGAACCACAGGTACAAAGTGGCCCACATATTTTCTGCATGTCTCTTTCTCGCCTTTAGTTATTCCATTCCTTCCTGAAATTCCTCCCTTTCCTCTACTGTTCCCAACCAGCTGCCACTTTTTAACTAACCCCAATGTCAGCTCTTTCATGAAATCTTTTCCTGATTTCTCCACTGAAAAAGTCTCTCCTCTTCTGAATTTCCCGTACATCTTATATTCTGTTACAGTACCAGGCACTGTAACACAGTTTTTTATGCATTTATTTTATCCTCACTATTAGATTATAAACTACTTGAGGACAAGGGCCATTTTTAACACTTCTTTGTATCTCTTGCATCCTGCCTTGCAAGAACTGGCAATTATTAAACAATTCCAGAATTGACTTGTACTGTCTCCTACAGTTCAGAACTTTAATTTCAAAGTTAATTATACAGAGTTTTATATATTAAATCAAAATTAATGTTCAAGTGAATGAATTCTTTCCTCATTTCACATATAGTCTAAAGATGCAAAAGCTAAAGAAAATATTCCTAGAACATTAATTACAAAATAAGAAATTTTACTATTAAAAAAGAACATTGGCGTTTGCTTCCAGATATGTTGGACTAAGACCTTGCAGACAATCTCCCTGCAGAAACCAACTCTAAAACCAGACATAATACAAGAAACAACTAGCTGCAGGTCCTGGAGAGTGAACAGAAGCAGAGGGATTCAGGTGGGGGGTTCATGGCAACTTGCAGGAGAGATGAAAGTTCTACACATGAGCTCCTGTCCGGCTAGTTTTTCACCTGGAGCTGAGCGGAGTCTGCACACGGTTGAAATAGGGTGCACCTGTCTTGCAAGGAAAGAGTCAGAGAGAGGATCCCCAAGCACCATGCATGGCTCTGCTGAGACCAGAGCTGCTGCACAGGAAAGAAAACTTGCAGTTCAAGGCCAGCAAAGAAAATTACTTACTAACACAAAACACAATACTCATCAGAGAAAAATAATGGAATCCAGAATCTCCACAACTTATTGTTCATAATATCTAAAATACAATAAAAAGTTCCTTAACGTACAAAGAATCAAGAAAATGCAACAACATTCTCAAAGGAAGAGAAATCAACAGAGTTGGACCCAAGATGACAAATTTGGAGCTCACAAGGATTTTCAAGCGGCTACTTTAACGACCTGAGGATGATATGAAGTTAAACAAAGCATCTTTTTTAATGCATGAGAAATCTCGGCAGAGTAATAGGAAGTCTCAGCAAAGAAACAGAAAGAACAAAAGAGAACCAAATAGAAATTTTAGAGCTAAAAAATATAATTTCTAAAACAAAAAATTCACTGGATAGACTCAATAGTCAAATCAACACGACAGATGAAAGCGCATATGAACTCTAATATGGATCAATAGAAATCACCCACAGCAAAGAACAGAGATTAAAAAAAAGATTTAAAAGTAATAGAGCCACGGGGACCTGTTAGATGATATTAAAAAATCAAATGTACTTATAATCAAAAAATTAGAAAGAAAGGAAAGCAGAATAAGGCACAATATACACAAAAGTTAACTCATAAGTAATCCAAGACTTAAATGTAAGAGCTAAAACTATCACTTAAAGTAGGAAAAAATATTTTGTGGCATATAGTTAGGCAAAGATTGCTTAAACAGTACATTAAAAGCACAAACTATAAAAGATAGATTGATAAAATGGACTGCATCAAGATTAAGACTTTTGCTCTTCAAAAGACAAACAAACAAACAAACAAAGGCAAACCATAGACTGGGAGAAAACTTTTGCAAAATCTTTATTGAAAAAAGCGCTTTTGGGTCCCACCTGGTGGCACAGTGGTTAAGTGCCCACGTTCCGCTTTGGCGGCCCCAGGGTTCGCCGGTTCGGATCCCGGGTACAGACATGGCACTGCTTGGCACGCCATGCTATGGTAGGCGTCCCACATATGAAATAGAGGAAGATGGGCATGGATGTTAGCTCAGGGCCAGTCTTCCTCAGCCAAAAGAGGAGGATTGGCAGCAGTTAGCTCAGGGCTAATCTTCCTCAAAAAAAAAAAAAAAGAAAGTGAAAAGGGCTTTCATCTAGATTATATAAAGAACTCTTACAACTCAATAATGAGAAGAGAGATTAACCAATTTAAAAATGTGCAAATTATTTGAACAGATACTTCACAAAAGAAGATATAGGCATAGCCAATAAGCATATGAAAAAATGCTCAGCATCACTAGCCATCACATGGATGCAAATTAAAAATCACATATAGCCACTAGAATGGCTAAAGTTAAAAAGACTGATAATACCAAGTGCTGACAAGGATGTGAAGCAACTAGAAATATCAAACATTGCTGTTTGAGCACGGAAGATGGTACATCTACATTAGACAACCAAACAGTAGTACCTTACAAAATTAAACATGAATGTACCACAGGATCTAGTACTAGGGGTTACCACAAGGCATGAAGATATGTGTTCACAACCAAGTGTGTATGCCCATTATTCCTAACATCCAAATACGGATAGCTGTTATTCACAATAGCCAAAACCTGGAAGCAACCTAAATGTCCACCAATTGGTAAATATTAAAAAGTAATGTGGTATATCCATACCATACAATATTACTCAGTAATAAAAATAAACAAAATAAGTGAATCTTAAAAACATTATGCTAAGCAAAAGAAGCGAAACACAAAAGCCTATGTACTGTAAGATTCTATTTAAATGAAATTCTAGAAAAGACAAAATTCTTGTGACAGCACCTCAGTGGTTGCCTGGGGCCATCGGTGAGGAAATGGATGGGGTGCAAAGGGGCCCCAGGAAGCTTTTTCAGAAGGAATCCATTCTATTTCTTGATTGTAGTGGCTTTTTGTATGATAATATATGACAACTCAAATCATCAGCTGCACAGTAAAATTCATGAATTTTATTGTATGCAAATACAACAAATGAAAAAGAGATTTTTTTAAAAAATAAGCATAGAATTAAAGTCAAGTATTCTTGCACACCAAATTTCAGCAGATGAGTAAGCCAGTTTAGATAATTTAGAACAAACCAAAGAGACTTGGCAGGAAAAGTCAGCCTTCCAAAGAAAATGACGGATCTGTCATCAAAAGTATCAGAAAACAGTCCATCTGTTTACTGGCCTGGCAGTGAAATCCAGCATTTCAGTAACTGACGCTGAGGCAGAAAAATGGACTTGAATCGGGAAAAAGGAAATGAAAACCATCTGATTTGCCATTTAGGTCAAACAGTGACTTGGCAAGAAATAGTAGCAGAAAAACCTAGAAAAAAATTTGGCACCAACTTACTAAAAAGAGGATTTAATCTTCACAGCTAGTGACAGTATATGGTGGAATTGAAACATGAATCTAAACAATGTTTCCCAGCGACTTCAAAAACAAAGAGCTGCCAAAGCTGAGACGAAGATCCTCTTTTGGAAAGCAACTCTTAAGTCGGTGGTATACACAAAAGACATTTTCACTTAACTTTATATAAAAGAGCTAAGCAACTGAATAATTTGATTCGTATTCAAAACATTTTGTGTTTCAAATTCTTTAAATAAACTTTTTATTTTAAAACAGTTTTAGATTTACAGAATTATTGCAAAGATAGTACAAATTGTTCTGTCAACCCCACACTCAGTTTTCGCTATTATTAGCATCTCACATTATGGTACAGTTTTCAAAGTTAATGAACCAATATTAACACATTATCGTTAACTAAAGTCCATCTTTTATGCAGATTTCCCTTGTTTTTACCTAATGTCTTTTTCTGTTCCAGAATTCCATGCAGGCAATGTCATTACACTTAGCAATCATACCTGCCTGGCCATTTTTTGATTGTGACAGTTTCTCAAACTTAGTTTTTGAAGATCTTGACAAGTTTGAGGAGTACTGATCAGGTTTTTGTAGAATGTCCCTCCGTTGGGCTTTGTCTGATGTTTTTCTTATGGTTAAACTGGGACTGGATTTTTCAAATATCTTTTGCTCCCTTTTGTAACTCTTAAAAGCACCATAATGTCATATTATAATAATTCAGATTATTGTTCAGATTATCATCTCCATCTTCAAATGAAAATGTCTGAAAGTATTCTGGCTGCAGTAGATTTAAGCGAATGCTTCAAAGTGAATTGCCAATTACACAAAAGCTCTAAAATGCAGCTATTTTGTATACTCTAAAACACATTAATAGTATTATTAATTCATTAGCCTCAAATAAGATTCAGTAGTGAATGCACGGCTAGGCAGTCATAATTCCTAAACTTGCAGGTGGTTGTTTTTGATTAGGTTAACTTTATGCAGCTTAAGTTGCTAAATTATCTATTTTTATATATTCTCTCCCAAATCACAGGTGGATTAAAAAAAAGCTATTTTCCAAGTGGCTTTAAGGAGTAAAGATATCTTTGAAATATGAGGGAAACATGATCTCTTATTATTAACTAGCTTGATATTATAATTTATTAACTCTTACTATTAACCTGTCCAAATTTAACAAAGGAATGTAAAAGTAAACAGTTTAGCACATGAAGGGGAGAAAAATGAACTCCATTAACAAGGCCACTGAATCAGCGACAGGTCATTTTTCTCATGACACAGCTCACCTTATTTGTGATGGAAAAATCCACAGGGACTTCATAGTCAGTCAGGCTCTGGATTTCTATCCAGACTTTCATAAAATGTTTTAGTAAGTATGCTCCAGGTTATTATTTGGCTCTCATCCTAAAGACAAGGTCAGCAGAAGTTGGACGTGTTCAACACACCATGGGAAAATGCTACCTGACACGATCCTGGTTAAAGTGACCCAGCATGAGTCTCTGACTAGGGGAAAAAAATAAACAGCCAGGCAGGTGGGCCAGCTTGGAACAGAAGTAGTCTATTAGCTGCGAAAATTACTAGACTGTGTTCTGGCTAAGATTTTGTAGCACCGAATTCAAAAAGGAAAACAAAACGAAACCAAGCACAGCATCCCAGGGCACAGAGCATTTAGCTGTTAGGTTGGTGGTCACATGGTTCCAGCTCAGAGCAGGGTTTCTGGGCATCCAGGCACCCTGACCTGCGGACTGCTGGGCCACCATGGGGGCTCAACAAGCACTTATCAGAAAAAGGAGTGAGGAAATGTCTTTACAAGAAGAGCAGAGGGGGCCACCCCATGGGGTCCTAGTAAATGCTTGAAGCCCCTCACGCAGCCTCACCAAAGTTTTGTCAACAAAAGCCAAAAGACCAGATCGATTTCTTAAACTTGGAGGGCACACACATTTCTCAGCACCTGTCATGGTTCCCACTGTTCACTTTCTGAATGTGGAATCTGCCAGATTGAGGTTTAGGGACTGACGTCAGAAAGGAGAAGGTCGTCTTTCAAAAGTAGCCTGTCTCCTGATTCTCCCGATGGTATCCCACTCTGTTTATATCTCAGACCAAACAAGAAAACCAAAACAGAGGAGTACCGCCTTCAAAGGGGCACTTCGTTTCCATCAGTCTGTGTGCACGTGACACTCCTGAGAAGTGGGAAAGAAATCATCTAATCGTGAGGGTCAGATAAGAAAGGGACGTAAATCCCATGTGCTTCAACCACCCATCTGATTAATGAAGGGAAAACACAAGCTTCATTACGCAGCAGAAACTAAGGGCAGCGTCGTTGGAATAAACGAATAAAAAGACAACCCAGTTTCCTCTGGTGAGTCAGGATCAACCTGGAAGAAATGACGTACCTGTTGAGAGCTGATATTTATAGGCTGTTTTAAAATGATCCATGTGACGCTCTCAAGCAGAGGCGGGACTGTCAGGGAACCAGGATAAGTCCAGTAGTCCCAGGATGGAGGAAGCAGAGATAAGGGGTCAAAATTCGTGAACAGAGTTTGTTTACCCTGGGGAAGAAAAAAGAATCCCACAGATGACAATGGGAAAGCTAAACACAGACCTCAAAAAAGAAAAAACCCAAAACTATATCCAACGAAATATTATTTCACTGGAATTCTTTAGTTCATGGAATACTTTAGCAACTGCCTTTTGTATCTTAAAAAAAAAAATTGTCTGCCTTAATCTAAAAATTTTAGATGAAGGAGCACATTGCCAAGATTTATTTAAGAAGCACAAGATTTGTTTTAATATAAGTGGTCTTTCAAATGTGTTCCAACTAAAGGCTTATTCTCTAAAAGTCCAATACCAGAAAATAATTAGGTGTAAGTGGATTTATTAGCGATGATTTTGGATAATTCAAGACTTCTTCATGTTTTCCAGAGATAAGTGGTAATAGTTACTTCTGCTCTATTGGTCAAGCATGTTCCCAACTTGCTTCAAAGCAGGAGCATACACAATGTCTAAGATCTATACTGTTAAAAGAAAATAAGAGAATGCAGGAAAAAACCAGGAATATATTAGTCATTAGTAAATAGTAATTAATTTTACCTTTTCTTTAATGGAATCCAAAGTGTCAGTAATCTTTTGCAGTTGGGAATTATGTTCACCCACCTGAAAACATCAAATTTCGAAAGAAATGGTTACAGTAGCAAATCAGGTCTGAATCACTCCATTTTGGTCACTATTTTTAAATTCTTTTTTTGAAACACCTGAGCTGGCCCAGAACAAACAGTGATTGTTCTATAATGAAACTCTCTTTTCCCTGCTGGCCTTATCAGGTCCAAAGAATCTGAATAAGAAGATACTATTACAGGGCTCCTTGGTCGAACTGTAACCCTGATGCCAAAACTAGTAGTAACAGCTTCATATTTCTTCAACTTTAGGAATGTTTAAGAGAAATCTTACTTAGGAAAATGTTACTTAATACCTGCATTATTAAATCAGATGTGACTTCTAAACCGAGATCCAAACTGAGTATTGTGACATCAAAACATTAGAGAAAAACATCTCCCACTTTCGGCCTAAAGTGATTTGAGGTCCCGAATCAAGGCAACGTGTCATCACGAGCAGAATTCTTCAGAAAAATATATGTACCTCTTTTCATCATTGCAGGTGTCCTGAATCTACCTGAAGCTTTTATGTCCTTCACGACTGAAGTATAATTTCTTGTCCCACTTGGGTCCCACTGCCACCACCAGACTTGGTGGCCAAAGGAAAGGACCTGCTGCCAGCCTTGCCACTCCCCCCGGTCCCAGCTCCTATGAGTTACAACATGGCACACGGAGTCAGTGGCATAAGAGAAGTGCACGCCCTGCAAGAATGCGGTCACAGTGGGAGCTGAGCGGCTCAACCCATCCACAGGTATTATGACAAGGATGCTTGTCTGAGCACATGCGAACATCAGACAAAGAAAAATACAACAAGATGAGAAGAAATGGTCAGTGCTTTTGGAACCACAAACCATTGTGGTAGAACTAGTGCTTCAAGAATCAGGAATCTGACCTTTACTCTGTCCTGTATCCCTAAATATTGTGTAATCAGGAAGAGCCTAGAACAAAGATTTTCTTCTCGGGATCTCAACTCTTCCTTCTGCTGTTCTTGTGGCTGTTGTTGCTATTCACATAACAACAATCAATGGACAATGAGAAGAATCATAAGACAATGCTCCTAGGGTAGTTCTGGGCCTTTAGATGAACCATAAACTAACATACAAATTTTTAATATTCATTTCAAAAGGAAAACACGAAACCTAGAGCTAGTTGACTATTGAAAAATGGTAGACCGTCTGTTCCATGACTGAAACTCTTTATCCAACATGGCAGATTATTTTAAACGAAATCAGTGGATTCTCACCTGTAAAAATACGCCCAAGACAGCTAGTCCATCGGGCTCATGAGCTGCCTCCACAAAGCTGGGGTATTTGTCTGAATTCCAATGAACAATATGGAGCTGAAAGGGAAGTGCACAATATAATTCAAATAATGTTTTTTAAAACATTCTTAAAAACATAAATGCAAATAAAATGTTTATACAGCTGTTCTGGTGCTGTGTACTTATATGTATAATGTATTCTTCACAAGAACCTTCGACAGAACCCTCATATCTGCTTTTGTCCAAAAACTAAAGCACGAGAAGTGAAGGGCCATGGTCACTTAGCTAGTCTGCGGTGCACTATGCATTAAGGTCCACGTCACCATTTAGAAAGATCTGGAGCATCCGGCCAAGCCCCTCTAGCCTGAACAACCTCCAGCCATTGCTCCCAAGCCACTTGGGGCCCCTCTACGTCTTCCACTGACGGGACTGCAACTGAGCAGCCTTAGATCAGAGCCGAGCTGGTGGCAGAGTCCAGCGAACGAGCTTAGTCTCACAGGCAGGGGGATAATCTACTGCCCCACAGCAGGTTTTCAGGGACAACCCTGATGTTAAGGACAGCGCCAATTGTTCCTGAAACTGCCCGGTCAGATGTTCCTCACTGTCATTTAAGACTTTTTATTGCTCAAAAAGGCACATTCTCCTTAAGAGTAACTATTTTAAGCAGTTTTCACAAGTTTACTACCTTCTATAAATATGTTCAGATCCTTTGCTGAGACCAAGTTTTAATGTGGAAAAAGAGGCTTCAGGGTCTAGGAACCAGAGGCGTCTGAGGAAGAAAATGAGAGGGAGCTGGTGCTACCGAGGAGGGGAAAAAGGAAAGAAGGAGAGAGGGAAGGAGTTGGAGGACCTGGAACCCTAGAAAACAGCACCTGCCTACTTCACAACTCCACCCGCGCACAAGTGGCCTTCTGCAAGCTCACAGTTGTCCTAAATGTTCTGCCACTGTAAACAGTGCAGAACCCCAAACACGCCAACAAGTGCGAAAGATTGTAGAATAACAATAAGGCAGAAAACCATTCTTGGAGGATCTTCATTCCTGGTTAAGGAAGGGACAAACTGAGAAGGGAAACAGGACACATTCAAATGATTTGGCCAAGATCATGACTAGACCATGTTGTCCAAGGACCCTATATGAGGGATGGACTTCAGATAAGATCTCCTTCAAAGGAATCCTTTTGGCATTTCAGAGAGGAAACTCTTATGAAGGTTTTCATGCACAAATCACCCTTCTGGCTGACTGTGACAGAGAGAATTCAGTATATTCAAATACATGTTTTTATCCCAACCTTTAAATATAACTTCAGATCTTACAGGCAACTAATATGGGGGGATTTCTGGATAAATAAAAATTACCGGGGCTGGCCCCGTGGCCGAGTGGTTAAGTTCGCGCGCTCCGCTGCAGGCGGCCCAGTGTTTCGTTGGTTCGAATCCTGGGCACAGACATGACACTGCTCATCAGACCACGCTGAGGGAGCGTCCCACATGCCATAACTAGAAGGACCACAACAAAGAATATGTAACTATGTACTGGGGGGCTTTGGGGAGAAAAAGGAAAAATAAAAATCGTTAAAAAAAAAATTACCATAAACAGTGAACTATAAAACCATCAACTAGTGCACCATCCATAAACAGTCAAGGAAGACTGTGGGATGTCCAGACAGAAAGTATAAAAGTGGCTTCCTGTGGCGCCATGTTCTGAGTCGGTGTGAGATAGCTGGGGGAGGAACAAAACCTAAAAACACTGGATGATGAAACAAAATTCATTGGGGTCACATGAGATAGATGACATTCCACTGTAAGGGAGGGGCTAAAAAGAATACTAAAGTTGTTTTCAATGGCTCTGCGCCAATGCGTCAGTTCACTTGGGAAGAGATGACCCCAGAAAGATAGAAAGACATGAAAGGACTTCTTCAGCTTCACAACCACAACTGACTAGAAAATGAATTTGTAACTAAAGAGAGGTGAATCAATATCTTCTACTGGTTAAAAAATGGCAACTATTTGAAATATTCTGGGAAACTAGAGCAAGAAAAATCCTTTTTTTAAACAAGTTGTTCTCTCTCCCACACACCTTGCTTAACTGGCAGTGATACCATCACAGGAAATGATGTCACTTTTATTCGCATTTGCATTTGAGTTAAAATTCAAACAAACAAATAGCAAACACACATTTCCTGACAGACGATGTCAGCTGCAGCGACTTGAGCTGAACAACAAGAAGTCGTAGCCATTGCAAAAATGGGAATGATAAGATTCTTCCCTATTGGAAAATGATTTCTAAATAATAGTATTATTCAACTTTAGTATTCTTTAAACTGCATACTATTGATATGTAAATATGCTTAGTAAGCCAACATCACCATTAATGTTGAAATCATAGTTTTACTATCAACTACATATTTAATACGCTATTATATATTCTTCATAAACTGTAATCAGAGTTCCAACTATGGAGTGGACGGTTAGCCTACTTTTTGTAAATGCATAACTCTTGAGATGAAGTTGTTCATGATTTAGATCACTTTAATCTCTCTCTGTAATGTCACAAATCCTCAGACTAGGCCCCAAATTAAGTTTTTATATGTTGTTTTTTCCTTTCTTTTCCTCTTTTTATTTTTAAGAGGATACAACTTGATGATAGTCATGAAGTTAGGTACAAAAGTGGCTGGAAAAACTACAACACTTTAGAATCATTTCTACCACTGAGCACAGAAGAATTCTTTTGAATCTGATACCAAATGCAAGTGACTCCCACTTACCTCCATCTCCAGCCCTGACCTCTTCTTGAAACTCCAGGTGTGTATCCAACAGCCTCCTTGAACATGCGCCTAGAGCATCTAATAGGCATCTCAAACGTACCATGTCCAAATCAGAAAGTGAATTCCTCTCTGCAACCTGCTCCCCGTGGACTTCCCCATCTCAGTAAATGGCAGAACCATCTTTGCAGTTGATCAAGCCAAAATTTCAGGGCTGCTTCTAGACTCCTCCTTTCCCTTCTTTTAATCTTGACCTCCTTTTCATTGGCAAGCCCCACTGATCTTACCTCCCAAACACATCCTGGATCTGCCTAGCGGTCTTCCCCTCCACCACCCCCATCATTGCTCACTTGAACTCCTCCATAACCTCCATATTTGTCTCCCTGCGTCAACATTTGCCCTGCCTCTTCTCCACAAAGCAGCCAGTTCTATTTTACAAAATATAAAGCAGGACATGTCATTCTGCTGCTCAAAACCTCCCGCTGTCTTTGTCCCGTTACATTAGGGATAAACTCCAAACTGCTCACCCAGCCCTACCAAGCCCGACGTGGAGTGGGCCCTGCCTGCCTCTCTGGGACACAGCTTGTAACTTCTCCTCTACCGTTAATTCCAACCCCAGAAACCAACTTCTTCCTCTGCTTGAACACGCCAACCTCCTTCCCGCCTGAGAACATTTGTAGTTGCTGTTCCTACTTACTGGAAAGCTCACTCCAGATTCTGTCCTGGTGCTTCTCCTGGTCATTCAGTCTCAATTCCCATACCATCTCAAAGAGGCCTTTCCTGACCACTGGCTCTGCCAGATCCCATGGTATGGTTCCCATCAGAGAACCCACCACATTCCTCTTGCTTATGTGTTTGTTTACTTCTAACACCCCACTAACCCTCTGGTCTGACCCAGACTTCCTCTTTCTCCATCGACATTTCCTGTCTCAAACCAGAAACACTAACTCCACCCCTCCCTCAGCCTCAGACCCAATCAGTCAACCAATCCCACAGCCGCTGCACCTCCAGCCAGTCCTCCAATTGCACTATCATCTATTACCTTTAATAGATTTTAAACCAGCATCCATCTAAGATATTTTTAAAAAGTAAATATGGTCACTTCCCAACTCAAAGCCAGTCAGTGACTTCCCACTGCACTTAGCTTGAAGTTCACAATCCTTACCGTGAGTCACCTTAGTGAGATCTGGCCCCTCCAGGCTCTCCAACTTCAGCTCCAACAACCCTCCCCTTTGTTCTCCATGCTCTGATCACACTGGCCAGTCTGTTCTACAAACATGTGATGGTCTTTTCCCACGCCAAGTCCTCACACATGATTTATGCAGGTGTCTCTCCCCTTTGCCTGGCTCACTCCCACTCATCCTTCAGATTTCGGGTTAAAGGCCTCTTCTACAAGGAAGCAACCCCAGGCCCAACCCTCCTTTCTTCCAGCACTCCCCTCAGGATGAACATGAGTAGGCTGGGCAAAGACCGGGGACACAGGATCTCAATGAATTCTCAGAGTAAATGAATGAATGCATGGACAAATTAAATAAGAAATAGCTTTAAATACCTACTAAAGAACAGTATGAAATTCCAGCTAAGGCTTTATCCACTTTGAGACGGAAAATCTACAAAGACGGGAAGTGGAAGAAGTATGAAAGTGGAAGGTGTAACCATAGAGGAACGTGACCAGTTTTCCTGAGTTGCTTAGGAAATTTACAAGGCAGGGATCCAAAGCCGGCTCTTAATCCCCACAAAGCTTCTGAGACTTAGAACAATATGTTAAGTTTAGAACACACAAAAAATTTAGAAAGCAAACATGAAAAGTATTCAGATTATATAAACAGAGACACCATACAGATTCAGGAGTCCCACTTTCTACATCTTGGCATCTTTTGTCCACTGCCACGGGATACTCTGGATGTATATTTCATTCCTCCACCCTCAGAACAGAGTGGGTCCCATGCTCTAAGCACTTGGCCTCAGACAAAAGTGCTTTAGTAGGCGAAGTGGGCATTTTGGTTGATAGCTTCAAAGAACTGATGTATATGGTAATGGAAGAATAAAACTGGAAAGAAGTTCCATTTGCTGGATTTCTCTCAACAGCAGGGCTATGAAGCAGCATCTAACTCCACAGCTCAGTAACCACAAGAAAATGAAGAAAAACTATACTTGTCTGCTAACATTGCTCTGTCTTGCCTAGACGACCCACAAGCCAAATTATTTTCACTCAAATAGTTTTGGCTGAGTCACACAATAATTCACTTTCATCTCATGGTAAAGTTGGGTGTTAGCAATATTTAATTGTATTAAAACTTGAAGTCTATCCTTTAACCAGGGGATTAGAAAAAGTAGAGTATTATTAATGAATATAATTATAAGGAAAAGGCATAACTTCCCAATCAAAAAGAGACAAGTCAACGAATGCTGTATTGTGCTATGCTTTACCAATGACCTGAGCAATTAACAGAGATTCCATTTCATACCTGTAACTGTAGAGGTAATGTAGAGTTTAGGAGAGTTTGAGTCTTTATTTTTCTTCCCTAAGAGAAACTTTGCCATTTACCATCACCTCTATAATATGGACTTTACATGATATTAGTACAGTCCATATATATTTGTGTCTGGACCAAATACATACAAGTTGGGCCTAAAACAAATGTTTCATTCTCTTCCTTCCCACTGGCCTTTAGGAAACACAACAGATATTGTAGAAAGAGTTTGTAATTTGGGTTTCAACCCATCTCAACTGCCTCCTAGCTGGATAAGTTACTTAATCTCTCCAAGTCTCCAGTTTACTCATTTCTAAAATAGGCACAATAACCCTATTATGAAGCTCTAATAATAGATAGATAGCTCTAATAATAAGAGCTTAATAATAATTAAGCTCTAAGCTCTCAGAGTTGGTTTAAGACTCAGAAGGGCTGCATTCGTAGCTCTCATATTGATACACTCTCATCGTGATGAAATAAAGCAACTTCAGATACGGAGACATCTAATTGGCTTGGGAGATATTTGGGGCCGAGGAAATTGTCTTCTGTGCCCCTTAAATGCCACCACATAGGAAAACTCTGAATCATGAACCTGTCTGACGGCTTACCTCTGCGGCATATCTCACTCCGTCCACCACGTGCTCGGAGCCATGATCGTCCGCGGACCCCCAGTGAAGATGGAACTGCCGTAGCCTGTAGCTTCCAGTGAGAGGACCCCCACGCAGAACTAAACATCAAAATTGTTAGCAAGAAAAAAATATTTACACACGGTGCCACAACCCACAACATCTCCCTAATTACTCAACATGTCCACGTCCTCCAAGAAACTTTATACAAATGTGTCATTCAGTTTGTTAACAGGAATACATCTTTTAGGTACTTGAGGAGTGAAAATAAGCACTGAAAATGTTAGAGAGCCCACAATACAGATTTTCATGGAACATCTGGGAAATCATACCAGACGCACTGACTGGAAAGTCAAAGAAATTAGGAGTTCTTAAAGGTTAGGAATTGCACCATTTAATGGCGAATGTCAGCCTCCACAAATAAGGATGTAATATGCAATGAGGTCCATCTTGAACTTGGTCAAGCAGTCTAGCATTACGGTTAGAGACTAGGATTCAGCATTTAGAAGACCTGGGCACACGCTCTCTTTACAAACTGTACAATCCTGCACCAATTCTAACTTTGAAGCTTCAGCTTGCATGTCTAGAACCTCAAGATAGTAACACTACCTCCTCCTACTGCTGTTGTGAAAACAGAGGAAAAATTGAACACAAAACACTCATTGCCTGGCACACAGTCAGCATGCTGCACATGTCAGCTAGGACTTCTACTTCATTGCTGTTAATATTACTACAAAAACTGGCAAAGTAAGCACATCTTCTGTACTTGAATTCTATCTGGGGAAATGTGAAATACAGGACAAACTAACCCTTTTTTAAAAATCCATCATATCTTTGTCACTTTGGCAGAGTATATTTTAGGACTCTGCCTCAACAAACACAATCTCTAAAATGATTGCAATAGACTCTTAAGTATATAGAAAAGCTTCTTATAGAAAACATAGTCCTCTACTGCCTCCTCCCAATGAATCTTTATCGAGCACGCTTAAAGGATATGGGAGGATAAGGAAGCACTGGATGTTGAATACACCACACTCATTACTAAATTCCCGTCAATATCCAATAGGATTAAGTGTCAGATTGGTGAGGTGCAGCCTTAACAACAGTTTTATTGAAATTACCTACCTGCTTAGAGATTATATATATATATATATATACACGTATATATGTGCTATATATGTCTCAAAATTTGTCAAGAATAATCAACTTATATAAGAAGCAAAGGATGTGAAGAGGTATCACATGGAAACAGCAAGAGAAAAAGGAGGAGATAACACATTTGCCTAAGGCACATCCTTCTTTGAGCTGCCCTAAGGTAGGAGAAGGAATAATCCAGACTGCTGTCTGTATTGACCAGGACAACTGAACTCATTGCCCCCTGCTGAGTTTGACTCAGCTGAAGCTGAGCATCAGTGAGTAAGAGCCGGTGTAGCGGCTGGAATCACGGACCTGGGAATAGCCCCAGCTCAGCCACTAAGCTTGGTGATCTTTCAAAACTCACTTAAGCCTTCTGGGAGCTTCAGCTTTCTTGTCCATACCTGTGTTTGTTTGTCTGTCTATTTTTAATTAGGAGATTAAATTGGATGCTCCTTACCTTGTACAATTCTCAAAACTGCCAACAGAAAAAAATTATGAGCCCATGTAATAAAATTTTTTTGGAAGGGTGAATGGTTGGGGCTTTCTTTAGATTTATTTGGATTCAGATTTCTTTACAATAAATAAAGATAGCTATTTTCAAAGCCCAGGAAAAGTAAAAGCGAAGAGAGAACCACTTACTTCAGACTGCAGGGCTCGCTCTTCTGCTACTCTGTTACCAATAGAGTAATTCTACTATTTCTTCTCCCACTGGACAATGTTCATGAGGGCACAGACTCTGCCTGCTCGGGTCCCTACTGTACCCATTACCTAGCATAGTAACCATCACAGAGGAGATGCACAATAAATACTTGATGAACGAATGAATAAGATATTTGATTTGTCTTTAAACAAACAGTTTCAAAGATAATTCACAGATAAATTAATTTAAAAGACACATTTCCCTAAGTGACTCCATCCAGAATGGATGCAATGGTATTCCAAACGAAAAGATTTGCAATCAACAACTCTATTGTCCTTTTTTTTTTGCTGTTGCATAACAAGACCTGGCTGAACCATAAAGTCATTCCTTTACAGATAAAAAGCAGATTAGAGAACTTGAGTAATCAATGTGGAATCGACTTTGGGAGAAGATGCAAACAAGACAGCTCAGGAGAAAGAAAGTGATACCAAAAACCACACACTGTTACTGAAACGTCCCAGAACAATGGTTGATCTCTAGAAAGACTACTCTGAATCCATGATTTACAGCCCGATTAGCACAGCTCTGCATATCTGGACTCCACATGTGAGTGTTTCAACTAAAACATCCAAACAGGGACTACAAACAGCAAACGTCTACTTGTGAAGACCATTCTCTTGGAGAAGCTCTCTTCCAAAGAAACACGGATGGGTGGGGAAAGTGAGTCAAAATATCAAGGTTGATTTATCACTGACTTTGAGACAGTTCATAATAAAACAGTCAAACTATGGTGTAACATGAATAATGGCAGCAAAAATTATCTGTAATGAGAACGATTCAGTGTTTTCAAGCGTCAAATTGTTTATTTTACTTTCCAACCTAGATGAGTAAATAAATACTATAACCTCCATCTTATGTCTCAAAATGAGTAATCATTTCCCCAAAATCATACTTGGCATACCTATATATCCATTTATCCTTTCAATAAGGATTTTATTATAAACCTATTCCAAATAATACAGTCATATAAGAGATCTATAGAGATTAAGAAACTAGAGTAAAATGCCATAAAAGTCTGGGAAAAATTTAATATCTTAGTAAAAGGGTCTTTGTCATTTGTTAGATGCTGTAAAGACCGACAAAACTGTGAAACTAGAAATGTATGTGTTACTCCAGTGAATTTGACTTTTTAAAACTGTTAGTAATGTCCTAACCCAACTCATTTTCTGAAACTACACTGTAGTCAACTGCCTTGAATGATAAGCAAGGCTGGCAACAAAATCAGAAAAAAAATCAACTTAAAAATCAACACCTTTGTCTGTTCATGCAATTACTGTCTATCCCACTAGGATACGAACTCCTTTAAGGTAGAAACTGTCTTGTTCCTCCATATGCCCAGTGCCTATGACAGCGCCTGGACCATTAATGTTAGTAGTATGAAATAAGAAAGAGACCTGGCCTGGAGGGGCACTCCTCCAAGACTTCAGTTTGTAGGGTTGATACCAAAGTGACCTGGGAATGGGGGAAGAGCATATTCTCAGGACTAGCGAGTCTAATGACAGTCAGCCTAATGCACTGCTCTCTGAAGGAAAGCTAACGAACAGGACATCTGTGTTGTGCTTGAAATCTAGGAAAGGAGGAACCGAAGAGCACACGTCTGCCAAGGTTATAAATGAGAGAGAGACCGAAGACATGGATGTTCCCAGTCACTGGGGCCTGAATTCTTTATGAAAGCTAAGACAGCCCTGGCCAAGTGTGTCTTCTTTTGCTCTGAGCACACACACACCAAGGTACACTCTGATCACTCATTCATTCAACAATTCTTACGAGCTTACTAGGGGCCAGCAATTGCGTCCAATGATAAGTATGCAATGGTGAGCAAGGTCATCCCTATCCTCAAGGAACTTATAGTCTAGTGAAGGAAACATAATGACAATAAAGTTTCATAATACATAATTGTCACAGATTACCAGTTTGGTGTCCTGGAGATCTTGGCTCCCGGGGGTAATCACACACCCAAGGTATTCTTCCCCCATATCTTTTTCTGTTTTTTCCTTTTTTAATGTATAATTTAAGATCTTGTGAATTTGGATGATTTCAGGGAGTTACCTAGAACTGGACAATTAGAACTAGATAACTAGATTGTAACTGGGAAATTGACAATTTCTAGAGATAAAAATTAAAGAATAATCATTCAATCCATAAAGGCACCAATATTCCTACAAGGCCTTTCTTAGCAAGAAACCAGCTTCCTTCCTTTTGACGTTTTTTTAAAATTTCAGCACAACATGTCTCACCCAGAGAGAGGACACAGACCATTATTATTTCTTTATGTTTTATTATTATTATTAGGTATTAATAGTTAGTTACTGAGTGCTTACTAAATGCCTGGAACTCTCTCATTTATTAAAATATAAAAATTAGTACACAGCCTTTAAAAACTAAATGCTCAAAAAATGAGTAATCCACCAATGTTTAAACTATTTAGGTGTCAACTGGTAAATATTAATTGATTTCTGGTGGTGTGTAATTTTATTGGGACTTAACCTATGCATAATAACGCATGCTGTACCCTAATGCCATTTCACGGTATTTTCCATGTCCTCCAAGAATGTTTTTACCTTAATCACACATTTATTGAGTACCTACTGTGTGCCAGGCACCATGCTGGGTAGATGAGTAAGACATAAGCCTTGCCCACAGGGAGCCTTTAAGTCAGTGGAAAGAGAACCACCTGGCAATTACAAGGCAGTGTGGGAAGTTCTGTGGTAGGACAAGCCTGGGATGTCACAGGAGGGTGAGGGGGCCAGTCAGGTGGGGTTCCCAGAGAGGCAAGATCCTATCTGAGTCCAGAGAGACCAGCAGCTAAGAGGAGAAACCCTGGTCTTTCCTCATGAGATTCCTATTTCCACTTTACTATGGCCAATAGGAACTCTTCCTCAAGAATTTCATACCCACCTGCTCCCTTTCTAAAGGACTTTTAAAGGACTATTAAAATTCCAAAGCACTGTTTAAGGACAGGGTAGGCAGCTGCCCAGCCAAACAAGCCCTCCAGGACCACGAGGAAGGTTTCGTGCCTGTGGTTTGTTGACTGGTAGGATTCAGAGTTAATTTTGGTCAAGAATGTCTTCTTTACAAAATGGAAACTGTATTATTCAAGTTAAAGTAGTTTGCTCAGGAAGTATGTTTGTGGTTTTTATAGTTTACCAAAGAAAAAGAAAAATCAGCAGCAACTTATGATGTTTGCCTATAGTGGTTTACACCCAAATCACCATGAAACATTCTCTTTTCATTTTTCTTCAGAAAAAAAGAATGAGAATCATGACCCATGTTATGTAGCTTCTATCTGGGATGGGTACAAAGTACTTCACAGACATTTTCAATCAACCCTGGTAATTTCATTGTGATCTAGATAGGATGAGCTCTTCATTGACGGGAGGGGGCACACCCTACCAATCTCAGACGAATGTCAAATCTGGAGACAGACAAAGCCATTCCACCAGTTAACCTGACTTAAAGGGAAAAGGAGAGAGAGAGAAGGTGGAGAGGGAGAGCCAGGGAAGGGGGTCGGGGGCAGAGAGAAAGACCTGGATCATCACAGAGCATATTAGAGTAGGAATTGTTATAACTACAGGTGCCTACATTTATAAAGAAAAAGCTGAAAGTTTTAAGTGAAGGTAATCTAATCATTTCTTATTCTAAAACTAGGAATGTAGCTTTTTTTTTTTTTTTTTTTTTACATTTGAGCTATTATAAACAGTATCAAACTACAGTTATGGGTGGAATAAACTTTGTCCTTAGAAGCTTTGGACTACTTTTCCAACGCACCCATTACATCAACCATATCTATTAACACAGATTCACAAAACTGAGGGCTTGAAGGAAAGACAAGTGAATATACATCAAAAGTGAGGTCTCTCCTCCCCCAAAAAGTTTAAAATACTATATGTTAATCTTTTTTATGCATTTTTTTTTACAATGTTCTGATGAAAATATATCACTTTTATGAATTTGACAAATATGAGGAAAAACTTTCAAGAGCTTATAGTTTTTGCTAACAATATAGCATTACATAAATACAGAAAATTATTACTAAAATAAATCCAAGCTTAATGAATAAGTGAAAACTTTCTTCCAATTAAGAATTTTTTAAATTTAACTATATCATTAATAGAGCAAACACAGAACATATATTAAATTAAAATAAAAATAATTTGTCAGAAGGCTTAAAGTGCTCCAAAATATGATTCTTTCTAATCTTCCCTTTCATCTTACTTTTAAACTTGATACTGTCTATTCCTTGGGCAGTGGGCATGCTTGAAGAAGGATTAAATGTTCATATTAAGGAAATGCTCTTCTCTACTTCATTTAGTTGATAAAATAACAGGTATTAAAATTCTATTTGGTAGGTCCATTATTTACTGACAGTGTGAAAGACACTATCCTATGAACTAATCAAACAAAACTTCTATTACAAGTTCTAGCAAAGTACCAATAAGGAACATACAAGGCACAGGTGTTTCAAATACCAAAGATAAGAAAGTGCAGTCCACTCGTCCAAGCCCCTCACCCCCACAAAAAAAAGAAATAGCCAACCTGATTTGTTCTCCGTGTCATCAAAGCCAACACTGAAGGAGTGGCCACTATTACTGATGATTTTAGCTGAGCTGGGGTCATACTTGATAGTCAGAGGTCGGAGCGAAGAGTCATATTTCACTTCCTTGGTTTTAATCTCAATTGGAGATTGCTGATCCCCATCGGCAATAGGGAAAAATTCATTCCAATGAACAGGACCTTAAATAAATAAGACCAAAAGAAAAGGATTAAATAAGTTATTTGATTCAACAAATATCTGTTGAGTGCAGTGCACTGTGCTTGACATTGAAGAAAAGACAAAGATTAATAAAATAAATCTTTTTCCGTCATCCTTCATCCTCAGGACCCTAGCATCTAATTGGTTTTTGTTACAAGACTAGTAACTTATTATAGGTATAGAAACCTCCTGGTTTGCCTTAATTCATTTTTAGAATTAAACTAATCCTTGTAGACAAAAGAGCATGTAAGTTTTATAAAGAACTTTCCAAAGGTATCCTTCACCAAACTAAAAACAACGGCACAATTCATCTTCGAAGAGAGTGAGATTCAGTCTCAGCTCCAAGAAGGAGCTGTGCTAGCTCCAGAGGTCAACAAATTTAAGGGCTGGCAGAATTTCTGGAGCTGAGAACGCTGTGTAGAGAGAAAGGATGTACTTCTTACAGACGCTATCCCTACTGCTTTCTTCCATCACTCAGTGGTATCTTTGGGTGTTGCCCAGGCCTCAACTCAGTTCCCTGGGATGTACAACAGGCATACTAAAGAGATATATAGATTTTTCTCATATAGGCTAATCCAAATAAAATGGCTGCACCATGTTAGGAAATGTAATATTGTTGATTATCTGCAGTGGAGTCGGGTAACTCTTTCTTTCTTCCCACAACCCAGAAGGTCCTCCTGTGGTTATTTTGCTACATTTGAATTCCAACACAAGGGACACCTGTCATCCTGATCCTCTACCCAAAAAGCTAAAATTGCATCAAGTTCCCACACCAGACATGATTCGTAAATGGATGCGAGCTAATAAGCTGGTAATTCCCTTGTCGGTTCTCTTCATTGTGCTGGGAGACTCTATTCAAGTTCTGCCTCTCAAAATCCACAGCAGGGTTGCAGCTTCAGGTAAGCTCCAAGCCATCCTGCAGTCATGAGTCACTTTATAGGTTAGAGGCTCTTATTAGCTCCTCAACTTTGCCCCCAATTTACACAGCAACCACCAGGTAAGTGGAGCCCCGGGCTACTGACTAAGCTTTTCCCTCCTTCACTACCCAACTAACTGGATTTCTCTAAAACTCAAGTACTTATTAAAATAATACGGTATGACAATTAAACAAACATTTGTCACTAACAACAACAAACATCTTTAAAAGATAAGATTTAGGATAAAATTTCAAGAAATGCAAATATATCACAATAATCAACAGCTTCAGTCTCTAAACCTAATGCTGCTTATTACTCTTGATTTTGGCAAAGGAGAAAGCACAAATTCTTTCCTCCCCATAGGCGTCAGGTACAATACATAACCACACCCATACCTTAAAAGTTGTTCTCCCGTGAATCTCACACTTTTGACTTCAAAGCAACTTGAACATCAAAAGTCTTTGCTTACAACTTCTTAGAGCAAAGGCATTACATTTCCTTATTTATTAAGTACTCTCATTTACCTCTCTAGTCCTTTTTTTAATGTGAAAAATGTTTTCTATTTCATTGCCACCAAGTATGACTTAATCTAGAGAGAATTCGATGTCAAATATGCAATGCATATGTTGCAACATGTTGACTTTTTTCCAATCAGGAAAGTGTCTTTCTCCTCCTAATTCCTTTACTCCCCTAGTTCCAGTCCTTTATAACCAGAACTATTTGTAAAAGCAGAGGCAAGCCAAAATAAAATAAAAATAATACTTCTTTGTACCAATTACTCAATATTGTCTGTTAATATAATCTGATGGTAGGTTCATTTCCCTGCCTCTGAAAGAGGAGCCCCCTTTGTAAAATTTTGCAAAACATCCAACTTTTAACCCATTTAAACATAGTTCTTAAGTACAGGTAAATGGTGGCTCTTCCATTGATTCAGGAACTTTTGGATATCCATAGTGATACGGAGTTTTCAAAGACAGTCACATTTCCTAAACTAAACCAATAAAATCGTCAAAGGTGGGTGGAAGAAGTTGCAAGTTATTTGTGCAGATGGTGCCCCGTTCCAGTGCCTCCTGTCTTGATGTTTCATTTTAGCATCACTACTGTTCCCAGTTTAAGATCCCTTTCATCTGCTCATTCACTGCTTTTGCCTGTCTAAATAGAAAACAAGTAACACAACTTGTCCAGTCGGGTTACAACACTTTCCAATGGGATTTTGCCAAAGTTTATCTACTTAAAGGTGTGGTCCTCAGGAAGCTATTGCATCTAAAAGAAGGGAACGGCCCTGCAGTTCTCAGCAGAAATATGGAATCCCTCCTTGTTAATAATGGCTTTTCTGAGGTGGATTGTTAACATTTCTGAAGACGAGCTTCACTGGAGCCAATATTTTCTAATACATTAAAGAGCAATCAACACTCATTGATTGAAAAATACCCTTTTTCCAAACCATAGTGAGGGCACTGTTGACACCCAGTAACTATTAAATAATAATAATAATTTCAGCAAAGAGAAAAATTAAAAGAAATTTGTTTTGTGGGATTTTTTTTCCCCAAACATAAATTGGAAATTAGCAAAATGTAAGATTATAATTATGGTCTCAGTCAAGAAGAAACCCACCTAAATTATACCTTTCATTATTAATGCTCTAAATTTCATCTGTTGCCATTTTTAAACTGGCAGGTTAATCATAACCTCAAAACGGCTACAACTAGAAATGAAATTTTTCTGTCTCTTGGTCAAAGTATGCTTTCCATAAAATCTGACTTCACAGTACTGTTCGGTAATAGGCATGTTAATCCAAGGAAAATATTATTATTACTGTTACCACTCACAGACCTAATTTTGACAGTGATTCACTACAAGGCTTTCTTGGTGTCCCTTTGCAATTACTACAAATAACCAGTTCAGCTTAATGTAAAAACCAGAAAAATGGTTTACTTTTGATAATTGAGGATATACGAGAAGAAAAGTACAATCTAATTACTATTGTCATTCCTATGAATACATTTTTTCCAAGGTGTTAAAATTTCAGTAATCTTTTGCTAATACTTAACCTCTGCAAGGATGCTTGTGGAAGGAGAGGAAGAAAGAGTGGAGACGTGGCGCAAAGTATAACTTCATTTCCCAGAAAGAGCCTGAAGTCTTCCTAAAGCCAACAGTATGGGTCAGCCAAACGCAAACCGCCGTGCGAGTATTTTACAGCAGTAGCTATTAAGAAATCGGGAGTATTCTGGTTGCCAGGAAGACAACTTACATCTTCAGTGTCGCAATCCAAGTTATTAAAATTTCTTAAACGTCTTTTCAAATATTTCCCACGATTTGCTTCCCCTGAGTGAACAATGAGCTTAAAAGACTGAAAGTGAACTTGTCCTCAATTCCTTCAAGTATGTCACCAGACTTCCAATCTCCGCGCCTTTAACCGAGGAGTGCTAACTAGCAAAGGTCCTGGGCTTTTCCAATGAAAGTGACCGGGCAGGCGGGACGATTTCGGGGTCTGGGGCATCTCTGCAGGGCTTGCACACCCCAACTCTCACCCCACTGTCAACGGGACCCTCCGAACCGCGCCTTCCCGGTCTACACTCGCCGGAGCCGGCGGCCCGCGCAGTGCTCCCGGCTTAGAGGAAGCGCAGGCTCTCCCGGCGGGCACCGGCCAGCTCCCCACCCAGCCCCCCGAGGCGGCGGGCGCTCACCGTTGTGCTCGCCGTACCCCCAGCTCAGCCTGGACATGGTCCTCGGGGCGGGAGGCGGAGGAAGATGCGGCCGGGCGGACAGAGGCAGGCGGGCGGGCGGGGGCCGGCCCGGGGCGGGGACGCGGGCAGCAGTGGTGGCCCCCGCGCCCGGGCCCGGTGCCCCAGGGGCGGGGCGGGCGGCGTCCCGGCGCGAGTCCCTCTCGGTCTGAACTCCGGGACGAGAGCCTGGGCTCGACAGCGAGGCGAGGAGGGAGCGCGGGAGGAGGGGACGAGGAGGGAACACTTTCCAGGGGATTTCCTGCCCTCTGAGCAGCAGTCACCCTGGAGAGGAAAGCGGCACCTAGAGGCCTGTCCTGGGAGCCAACGAGTCCCTCGGCCCGCAGCAGGCGGCCGGGACTGGGGACCCTGGTGGAGATGTGGGGGTCGGTGCTGCCCGTGGTGGCGGTGATTCCAAATACAGAGCAGGAACGACAATGGTGCTAGCCACAGCAAATAATTTAGCTGTTCTTTATTAAGGGCTTACCCTGGGCCAGGGGCTTAGCTAAGACGTTTACCCACATTGTTGCATTAGACTCTCACAGAACTCCTTTGAAGAAGATAGGACAAGTGCCCCAGAATTGGGAGGAGAGGAAATGAGGCTTAAGAGAAGCTAAGTGGCTGCCCCAGGTCACACAGCTAAGAGGGGCAGGAGGTCCCTCTCCTAGAAGAACAGAGATCTCAGAGATCCACCCCAGAAGCGGGCCCCACAGCCCATTCCTCCTGTTCCTGGCCTCCGCCTCTCACTCTGCAGGCCTGTGGCTTGGGGACTGAGGGAACTAAACCTAATTACTGATACCTCGTGCGGAAATTCTTCTGCCTTTTGGACCCGGCAGGGAGGACGGTGTTCAAGCCATGTTTTCCTGCATGCTTGGCAGGCTTGCTGCCCTGGGACTGAAGGCTGAACTGACTGCACAGCCTTGACTTTCTGTCCTGGAATGGTAGGTGCTCAGGGCCCGGAGTGAAAAATAGAACTGTGTGACTCCCCAGGATTACAGTTACTGTTCCAGCTGCCCTAAGGGTTTGAGTTGGGTCAGTGCGAAATTTCAGATTGAGCTGTGCAATGACAAACTAATGCAAAGAGCTGCTTAACGGGCATGAGACTTCCGTAAAAGGCTTAAGTGTAGCTGTTCAAGTATCATCTTTGATTTTCTCTTGCTGTCAAGACAGCAGCTGTGTAATGTGGTAATTGCATGTCCCAGGACGTACCTCTTTGGGTAAACACGGCATTCTCTAGGGACCACTAAATAAGGATCAATTTGAACTATTCTTCTTTAGACCGGAACTAAATACCCCACAGTGACGCCTGTACCTCCTTCTGCTTCTACAGTTCTTAATGAGGTTAGAAGGCAACAGGGGAAAAAGGTTTTTATACAGCATTAAATACAGTAAACGTTATACTCCTCTTGCATCTAGTGGAAAGCCCAGGATTTCTCTTCCATATTCTCTGGCACAATTGGGTTCATTTATGCCAACATAATAGGAGCCAAATTTTTAAGAATAAGGTTTGAGCTATATTCACTTTCATCACAAAAGACAATAGTTATCCAAAATATGCAAAAAAAAAACCCTCTTAATACTCAACAATTATAAAACAAGCAACCTGATTACGAAATGAGCCAAAGACCTTAATAGACACCTCACTAAAGAAGATGTACAGATTGCAAATAAGCATATAAAACAGGCTCCATATGATGTGTTATGAGGGAAATGCAAATTAAGACAATGAGATAGCATCACACACCTATTGGAACTGGTAAAGATCCAGAACACTGACAACAACAAAGGCTGGCAAGGCTGGGGAGCAACAAGAACCCTCACTATTGCAGGTAGGAATGCAAAATGGCACAGCCACTTTAGAAGACAGTTTGGCAGTTTCTTACAAAACTAAACATACTCTTACCATATGATCCAGCTATCACACTACTTGGTACCGTCAACTCTAAAACAAATTCATCACTTATTTTACCCTCAAAACGAGTTTATTTGGGAAGAAGCAAAAAATTGCAATTTGGGATGTGCATGCTATGGCAAATCATAAGCAAATCCAGAGAACAAAGGAGGGGAGTTGCTTTTATAGAAAAAAAGGGGGGGGAGTGGGGAGGAGGATGTTCTCAACAAAAGTCCACTGGGGGAAAGCAACAGTTGAAGGCTGCAGTGGCTACTCATTGGCTGAACTGTGGCATTTCTCATTGGCTGGGCTGTTGCTGGGTGGGGAGAGAAATCTTCCTTCAGTAGTAATGTAATTGAACTTCCTGTCAGAGATGCCAGCATATGTCTCTTCCTGTACAGAGTAATTGATGACATGTAATAGGGCATGAGAGCTTCTCCTACAGGCCTTCCTGACTCTAATTTAGTTAAGGTTTCTTTGATTAATTTCCACATTTTTCCCTTTTGATCAAGATCTTTCTTTGAAAGCATTGCTGGTCAACAGTCAGATTTTCTGCACAGAGTGATTTTTCCCTCAGTGCCAGGAAAGACCTTTCGTGGTTGTTATACCACGTTGGAGGGACAGTGCATAGCTGTTGGAAACCATTTAGGTCACATTTGAGTAACAAGGAAGGTTAGGAGGGAGAATTGTAAGGCATTTCACATTGAATGTCTCTATTTATCCAGGGTTGTAGGCGTTGGAGTTCATCTCAAAGTGCTGAGCCAGCATCACCTTACTTGGCACATCATTTTTACAGGAGTTTGACAGGCTGTAAGTACAAAATTTTACAATAAGCATATAGAGTAAGATGAAGAGCAATACTATAAACCAGTTTGCAGGATGGTTCTAAACCAGGAGCCCAGACCTGAAGTCACGAGATGAACAAATCAAAAGATGGTGGTTTGTTAGAAGAAATTGCTTTTAGCCCATGTGCTTGCTCTAATCTTATGTAATCGAGTTTCTACTTCCCCAGAGGCATTCATCCATGTGCACCAGAAGGTGTTCACCATGGCATGGACACCTCCTTGCTCAGCGAGTAGGTAATCAAGGCCTGCACGAATATCCAAGACTACCTTGGCCAATGAGTTAAGTGACTGTTGCTGAGCTGAAATTGCTTTGGCTGTGGAGTTGGTCAAATCGTCTAGAGTCAGGGAGAGATTCCTGATCATTTGTTCCCTAGAACACACTCTGATTCATGGGAAGAAAGCTCCTCCCATGGAGGCAAAACCCAGAGTCATGTACACCTCCTGGGAATTCTCATTCAGAGCAACTACGGAGATTCAATGGTAAAGACCAATGAGAGATCTGTGTTTGGTTATGCAGAGAGAACAGGACAGTGAATACGGCAAGGGCACACTGTCCCTGGACTCTCCCGCGGTCAAGGTGATGAGTTCCCAGGCATAAAGGTCATTACTGAAACCTCCACAGAAGAAGACATAACCAGGGAGTGTACATAAGGCTCCTGCATATGTGATAACATCTATAGAATGCATAGAGGCATTAGCGTTATATAAACAAGGCTCAGACACTATATTGTTACATACCAACATACACACAACCTAAATACATGGACATGTTAAGAAATATACAAATGATTCAACTTAATTGACAGTCCCACAAAATTCTTCATACAAATATTCAAAAGATCTCGTTTTGACTCTCCCAAGGCTGGGTCAAATTAAAGCAAGGAAAGACTTTAGGGGGCTTAGCACCCTAACCCCATAAAATGGGCCAGCAGAGCAATTTACACAAACAAGAGCATCGGGAATCCCAGCAAAATTACTTATAGGGTAAATGAAGGGGTCATTACCATCTTGGACAGACAGAGGTTTCTCATGGCAAATCCAGAAATCAGAGGGGTTTCCTTCATATTTAGCAAGCGATTGGGAAATATGGACAAGAGCACTGTCTTTTCAGGAAAGAGAGGGAGAAAAATTAAGAAACAACAGTGGAAGAGCACATACCCGGACGGGTCCAGTCATCTTGGGATAGCTGTCTGCCTCAGGCATTGGCCGCTTCAAATCCTGGTGAGTTTTGTCTTCAGATCACCTGATGGATTGCAGGTACGTGGGGTGTGGTATCTTCCTTAAATACCACACATGGGTCCAGGAGTCCACTCCCCAGAGTTTGGCGACACAAGGGTTAGCAATACCTGATAGGGACCCTTCCAATGAGACTGGGGAGTGTCCTTTTGGAGGTGTCTTTTCCAGTAAACAAAATCTCCAGGTTGTAGAGTGTGGTGTTTGGGGTCTTTGTCTTCTGGGAGCGCACTGTGAAAAAGTTACTCTACCAAAGCATGGTTATTTCCAACAGAGGCAATTAGGCCTTGATGATACTGAAGTCTTCCTTTATCAACTGAAGGTGGAGAGAAGCAGGATCCAAGTGCACTGGGCGACCTGTGATTATCTCAAGGCTGAGAGTTTACGAGTTCCTGAGATTCAGGAGGCAGAGCTTGGGCCAGGTTATCTGGAGGGTTTCTAAGAACTTTCCTAATTGAGTCTTAGTAATGCCATTAGGACATTTGACCAGCCCAGAGGATTGGGGATGACAAGCACAGCAAAAATGTGGTAGGATTGTCCAAACAGCACGGACTTGTTGAAGTACTTGACCATGAAATGAGCTTCCCGGTTACTGAAGTTCAAGAAAATCTTTTCTAACAGAATATTAGCCACAGAAGAAGCAGTAGCCTGTCTGCAAGGGAGAGCTTCAGTCCAGCGAGAAAAGATACAGACCACGACTGAGGCATATTTATAGCCACGAGACGCAGGAGTTGTATAAAATCCCCTTGCCCAACCTTGAATGGTCCATTAGGCAATTTAATAATGTCCAAGAGCGGTGTGAACAGGTTTTTCTGAATTGTATTTTGGGCATTTAGGGCAAGCAAAATAGGCACTTTTTGCATCTTTATTACTATCTCCCCACCAGGATTGGTGCATAAAGGTTACCATTTTATCTGCAGACAGTGGCTCACGGCACGTGCAGTGCGTACTAACAGGAACTTTGCAGTCTCCAATAGAACTAGGTTTTTCTTTGGCCCAAACCAGAGCTTTCTCTTTTGGTCAAACCAATGATAGTTGAATTTCCAATCTTGCTTTTCCTTTTCTGAGGCCAATCATTGGGCTTCTCCAGCCAGTTTTTCCAAGCTATCATTAGAAGAA